TGCCTTCACAATACAGAATACATTGTATATTTATTTCAAGGATTCAAGAGATTTTATCTTATTTCAGTCAGTAAGGGGATTCCAAACTCAAAAAAATTTCTGCTTCTAGGGTCTACCCCCTCCGGGATCAAATGGGCGTCCTCTTATTATTTCTTAAATCAATTTCGGAATAGTTTGATATTTAATATAAATCAGAGCTTTCTGTCCAATGTTTTTGTTTCATGAATGATTGATTATTATCGGCGTTTAACAATAATAATCAATCAATCATAAAACAAAAACATTGGACAAAAACCTCTAGTTGATTTATATAAATGTCAAACCATTCCGAAATTGACATTATATGTCTTCTGGATCTATCACTAACACAGTGCGTACTAGAGTAGCTGAGGTGGATTGAGAATGAATTTCGAATTAGAATTTCAATCCCATGTTTTCTCAGACACATTGTCTATCATCAAATGTTTTGACTCTAATAGGTGGAAATTACGTAAGCAGCATATTACCAATCTTGCCATTTAATGATGTCGGAATGATTTAACAATTCGCGATCTAACTATCATCTGGTGGACATAGAAATATAGCCGTCAGTCACGTGTCATGTTTAAGCCTATTAAAGCTTAGCATTTCAAATTCCTTGTATCATTGCGCTTAATTGATCTGAAATGACCTTTTTGGATTCCTGGAATTGATAAAATCTCGCGAGAGATTAATTACTAATATGTTTATAGCAATTGTCTGGATTCCAACTCATATTAACGAAAAGTTCTAAATAAAAAAAAAATTGATCAAAGAGATAGTTGTACTGCTCTTGGCTCTTTTCTATATATGCACATTTAACGGAGCTGGGCTTTTCTGAGCAAATTGAAATACAGTTGCATTAAATCTGAAATTGAAACTTGAATTTACTTTTACGCAAGTAAGGTCATCTATTTAGCTTCCTCCGTGACATCAGCTAATCTGACATCTTAGCTTTTCATACTTCGATGCAATAAAATGTACATATAATTAAATAATACGTTAATAAGTTAATATGTTTTGTATATGGCGATGCAGTTAAGCAATATCCATCTAATGTTTGAAACTTCATCGCTCTACTCGACTCTCTTCATAGGCGACTTAGCCATTTTCCTAGTTATTATTTTAAAAATAACCTTTTCTCGGAATCTTGAAATTACAGAACATATGACTTGTATTTTTGCCTGTTACCACACGATTGGATTAGAAATGTTTTTTTTTTTTCTCTAAAAGCACAAAGGTCGTGTGTAAGGGTGTGCATGTGTCCTTTTTCCTCAAGGTCATGTACATGTCAACGGAACTTTCGGAAAATGTCGAGATATCCGGGATGTCGAGATACATGCATCAGAGTTGAAAATCGACTTCCAAGCATGGCTAATTTATTTCAATAATCAGTTTAAAAAAAAAAAAATAAAAAACCGCTTTCTTGCATATTTCACGGTCATCAAAGTTTTGCACGAATCTCCGTTTTGTTTCTATTTTTTATTATTTTTTTTTTCGTTTGATTTGGTTTTGTTTTGTTTTTTGCTCAAAACATCACCGTTGCTTCAATTTTTATCTTTCCCATAATGTATTCCTTGACTGTCTTTGTGCCTTCCGATTGCAATTGGTGTGAAGTGGTTGTTGATTTTGAACATTTGAATGACACCCATAACCACTTGTTACATGTAAAAGTATTTTTTCCTTCTAGATCAGTGATTTATTCTCAAAAGATGTCGCCATATGAACATTTATCTGAAGTTCTATCATACTTTCTTTACATCTAATCTATTGTTTAATATACTGTTTGTTAATTCTTTTTCATACTTATTTTCAAGCATAAAATCACTGACGATGTAATTGTTAATTTCTTCAGCACTGAGTATAATGTTCTTGAAGATCCATTATTTCAAAATTTTTTTTTATCAAAATTTATTTTTTTTGCAAAAATTTGTGCCCCCATTCTCCGATTGTGTGTTAATTTAGTATAGAATTATTTATATAGGGACAGTTTGCCTCCTCCCCTCCTCATTTGTTGCTGTAATCCCATGTTACCAGTATTAATATTCGAACAAAGATGGGATCTCTTTTTCAGGTTGAACTTTTCACGGTTGCCTATTTATTCGGAATTTTTTTTTTTTGGCTTGTCAATTATCTCTGCTCCCCCCCCCCCTAAACCCACCACCACCCAACACTCATTTGGAAATCGACGCTACACACTGAGTCTGTCTAATCGTGTATATCAATATGATTAACTAGGGAATAAAATGGCTAAATACATTTAATAATTTGTTATTCAGAATAAAGAACCACTTATACTATATAAAGAACTCTCTCTCTCTCTCTTTCTCTGAAAAAAAAAATACATGCATGTAGGCTATGTATCACCGGAGAAAATAAGTGTAAAACTTTCTGGCAGCAATGAAACATTTTAAAATTTGCTAACGGAAAGTGCGCCATACTTTATTTACAATGCTAGCGTACTCCAATGCTGACGTCATTATTTAACGTCAATGTAAGAAATATGACGTCACATTTAGACCAGTACCTATGTAAATATAAAGACCTATACTTGTGTCAAAATAAAAGATATTATTGTGTTTCATGACACATACCGTATATGGTTAATTGAAAAAGTAAAACATTTATCAAAAAAACGACATTTTTGTCGGTTTGGCGTTGATACAGTAAACGACATTTATGTCGCTTTGGCGTCGAAAGGGTTAAAACTTAAAACCCGGTCCTCCCCTTAATTTTTTGCGAGGGGAGATTTTTTTCCTTAGATATTGGATAATGACTCCAACTAATCACAAGTCCAAAGAGAGTTTATCTATATCAAACTCCATCAAGACCTAAAATATGCTTCGGAATCAATGTTAAAAACGAAAACATCCCGTCATACAACACAATGTTTACCATGTTTACAGTAAGAAGTAGTACTCCAAACGTTACACAATGTTTACATTCCATTCTATTCCAGAAATTGATTCTTTATATGTTTACCTTATTGAGAGCCCTGTTTTTGTCTTCAATTACTTCTAACAATGAGGGTCTGTGCCCCTCCAATACTGAATCGGCGCGAACGTCCATGGCAGACGCCATGATGTTTATGAATTCCAATAGCAACAGTACAGAAGTCATCCTAATTAACGAAAATGGTCAAAATAAAGAAAGGGTAAACACATCTCAGATATTTGATCATTTAAATGATTGTTTACAGTATATAGTGGAAGAAATATTTTTAAAATTTCAATATTCAAATGATGATGTTGAAATCAATGTAACGTTAGGCCTAACTTAAATCATTTTTATAAATATTAATTTTTTGACATATTTTCTTTACGTTATTTTTAAAATGCATCTCATTTAACATACCTATTTTGATTTCTTTAAATGTCAAAAATAAATATCTGAATTTTTAAAATTTGATAAAATCAGGGTATAGGTCCCTGATAAAATCTAATAAAAAAAAATCTTGGTAAAGAAAGTAGGGATAAAAATAAATCGAACTAGAATATCATGACTGATGATGAACCGTTTTATAAATACATGAACATTGACCTTCAATAAAAATATATAATCTTTAATTTAATTTAATATTAAATTTTGAGATTTTACGGATTTTCTTTGTTCTTCGTTTTCAAAAATATTTTATAGTTTCATTCATCAAGGTTATTGTAGCGTTTCATGAAAAGCGTTTTATTGACGTTAGTTAGAATATTCTAACTGTGTCTCGGGACAGGCCCTCACCACAAACCGGGTCCGTAGGACAATATCATTTTAACGATAGAACATTCTATCTATATTGACGTCAGCCCAGTGCTTCGCAATAAAAGACCCTCGAAAGGTTTGTTTGGTAGCAAATTAGATTTAAATCACATTCTCGCCTTTGTGATCTGAGGAAGGGATAAACACTGATAAGATTTCATCTTCATGATTTTGGTAATACAAATGTATCAACGTCAACGGTTTCTTGTTTGTGATCCCATCAGTCCCAGTAAAACAACTTCAGTGAAGCACCACTGGAAATTAGAAGTACCTACATGTATACATAAACCCTGCATTAATTTGGCACAATACATGTACATGTAGATAATCGGTTATTGGAACCAATCAGACTGATCTGTGTAATATGTTGACGGTGCGACCGTTAGGCCGAGCGCATTGTTCACTTCATTCATTAAGATCCGCCTCTTCAAACCGCACGAGAGATTTGGAACGTCTAGACTCTGACGTCACATGACGTATGTTAGCTGCATTTCCATAAACAAAGTTTAAAAAAGTGCAATGATTTTAACAAAGAAGGTTTAATCTACTATCTGTATGCAATATCCATTAAATTAAGGTGAGTTTATTTTGTCTGAAATTTTAGTTGTTGTTACCGCGCGCATATATGGCAAGAAATTGGTACTGTGTTTTGAGGTCATACTTTTGTACCCTAGGGTACATCCCCTATTTATCCTTTAGCAATAAGGTTACAAAAAGGTTACAGTATAAAACCATTGAAAAATGAAAGTAGAAAATTTCTGAAGGACTGTTAACGTGACCTGGTTACAGTGGGTACAGAGGTTACTTAATAATACGAATTCTACTTTTATTATTATATTATCTGGATTCTGAATGTAACCAGGGTACAGAAGGTACTATGGCTACATGATCATTCATTTATATCTAACCGCGTGAACGAAGTTAGCAACGAGAACAAGAAGCGATGCATTGTGGGTCCAGAATTACTGCAGAAAAAAATCTATTCAATTTGAATGAATGTGCAGTAGTCCGAATTTTCTCTTCGCCCAGGCGTTGTCGTTAGAGCTCGCAGTGACGAGTGGTGCTTTGCACCGCTCCCTGCGCTCGCTATAAATGTTAATACATTTTCTAGAATAAAACAGAAATGATATTGATCAGAGACACATAAAACCATATTGATAAAAATATATTTATGGTAAACATTGCATTTAAAAGGGGCAGAGGATAGGTAGTTATTTGAAAAATCATTTTTACAGGTTGGACATGGCAAAGATGGTTCTCTTTGTCCCCGAGAGTACAGAGAAAGAGAGCAATTCAACAGGACAGTCACAGAAAACATCTTCTGACATCACTGGTTCAGAGGCAAGGCAGTTTTATGAAGATTTGGTTAACGAATCGCACAGTAAGGATGGAAGTATATTACATCAAGGTATACCACATGCTCAGAGTCACGCAAAACATTACAATGACAGACTGCTGAACAATGTTCCCAAAACCTCCTCAGCATCTGCTTTAACAGTAAAAGAAAGTGATTTCTTGAAAGCAGCTCAGAATGGTGATATAAAAATTGTAAAGAAGTGTTTAAAACAGGGAATAGAGATTGATTGCATAGATTCTTATGGATGGACGGCTTTAATGTGTGCAAGTCATAGTGGAAATAGACAGGTAGTTACATATCTTCTCAAGAAGGGTATAAACAGATATGTGGTGGATAGAAAGAGAAGGGATGCAGTGGTCATTGCTAGAAGAACTGGTCATGAAAGTCTGGCCAATTTTATATCAACATTTGACAGTAGCATTGTGAGAGCTAAACAGATAGAGAAACAAGAAGCAGAAGTCGTGGAGTTTTTCTGTGATGTGTGTAATGAAACTATTCACCAAATTGGAGGGGAGAACCATGAAACATCTACTGTGCATCTATTCAACAGACAGCTAAAGCCAAAACCAGACAGTTTTCTTATTCCCCCAGGCAACATAGGTTTTCAGTTAATGTTAAAGAATGGATGGGATGGGGAGAAAGGATTAGGATCAAGAGGACAAGGGCAACGATATCCCGTGAAAACAATACTAAAACGAGACAGATATTGTTTAGGTGGGGAATCCGAAAGGACCACTAAAAAGAAAGCTAAAGTTACACATTTTGGGCCTCATGACAAGAATGCAGTTGGAAAACTCAAAGAAAGAAAATTAAGATCATCTACAATTAACAAACAGCAAAAAAAGAAGGAGGAGAGTAAATCCCAATGGTGGGAGAGAAATCTGAGAGAAGAAATGAATGATTTTTTCTGAGACTTTCATTTCATGATAACTACATAGTATATGTATATTGTAATTTGAATAATGATAATTGAATTATTTTTTAAAGATAGCATTAAGAAATTCCAAAGATGATGAAAAAATTATAGCAGCTTGTTTTTAAAGTTTTATTGATCTTTGAATGTGTTTTCTTTTTTTTTTTTGGGGGGGGGGGGGGGGGGTTGACATTCATCTACTGCACATTTTTTGACAATAATAACCTAAAACAAGATGTGTTTGTGAAAATATGCCCCTTTATGGCAACTTATAGTGAAGGTTAAACTTTCTCAAATGCAAATCAAATATGATGGTACCATAAGTAAGGTCTTGTACCGAGGAATATACCTGTGAAATATGAAAGCCCTAGCAGCAACCATTGAAAAGATATGGAAAAGGTTAAAGTTTTTCAAAAGTAGGTCAAACCCCAATGCTACGGTCAAAGGGTCAAAGTTGTTGGTATCCAAAGTAAGGTCTTGTCACAAGGATTGCATATATGAAGTATGATTGATTGATTGTATGTTGTTTAACGTCCCTCTCGAGAATTTTTCATTCATATGGAGACGCCACCACTAGCCGGTGGAGAGCTGTAAGTTTTGTCCTATACTCGGCACTTACGGCCATTGAGCAGTGAGGGATCTTTTTTGTGCCTGCACCTACTACGACACGGGACCTCGGTTTATATGGTCTCATCCGAAGGACCAGTTTCCACGTCCCACAGTGGGATTCGAACCCGCGACGTAAGGATCAACTCCTTACTTCGCGACTCTAGAGCAGACGCTCTAACCACTGCGCCACGTGGGCGACTATATGAAGTATGAAAGCCCTAGAAGCAACTGTTCAAAAGAAATGGCCAAGGTTAAAGTTTTTTTCAAAAGTAGGTCAAACTCCAAGATCAAGGTCAAAGTTGTTGGTATCCAAAGGAAGGTCTTGTCACAAGGATTACACAAGTATTAAAGCCCTAGCACCAACCGTTCAAAAGTTAAGGCCAAGGTTAAAGTTGGGAAAAATTTTGTAAAACTGGGTCAAACTCCAAGGTCAAAAGGTCAAATATGATGGTACCCAAAGAAAGGTCTTGTCACAAGGAATATACATGTGAAATATGAAAGCCATAGCTTCAACCTATAAAAAGTTATGAGCAATATATAAGTTTTTGCAGACAAACAGACAGACGGACGGACAGGACAAAAATTATATACCCCCGAATCTTCGATACGGGGGCATAGAAATTAATTAAGGATACTGTATTCTTATTCACTCAAACATGTTGATGTGTTTACCACATGTATGTACAAATTTTAGGTCACCGGGTGACTCAGGTAACCTAATGCTATTACCAGTTCCCATACCCATATGTTACCCAAAAACTTTTGAATATGTAAACTTCCTCACTGAAATGAGTAAACCAAATTTAAACTGTGGCACATATATCTATGGATAATGGAAAACAGAAATCATGAATGTTATGTTCCCAGCCACCTGGCACCTTAGAAGTGGGACAAACCATCAAAATGCATGCAATTTCCAAAAATTGTCCTCTTTACCCATGGACCTCTACCAGACAAACTATATACTGGTATATGAGTGTTATCAGTGGTTAGTCTTCTACAAAAGTAAAATATAAATTATAAAACAAGAGGCCCATGGGCCACAATGCTCATGTGAGACACCATTACCATGCTAATCTTAAGATTTTTCAGAGATTTGCATCCCTTTATATTCAAATGAAAAAAAAATTAATGCCAAATTATGTCCCCACCTTATTCATGAGGCCATGATTCAAACAAAATTAATTTTCCTCACATTTAATTGCCATTATCTATCATTTTATATATTTCTTCTGCCATACAAATGAAGAAAAAATTTACTCTATAGCTTTAACATGTTTATGCTCCAAGTTGTGACCACATACTGGAAATATTATATTTCATATGCCGTATTGTAATATATATTTCACATCTTTTCTTTTACAAAAATACAATATATGAAAAAATGAAACCAACAATAGTTTACATAAACAATTATTTTTTTAAGGGGGGACCAACTGTCTGTGAAGAGAGGTAACTTCCCAAGTAAATAATCCTGAAATTGTCTTAACAGAGTTTCTTTGACTCAATATTAATTGGCAGTAGGAAAGCGCTGTGGGTGACCAAGAGGTGAGACATTTCCCCATTAGTTAAATAAACTTAATGTGAATTGGAAAGGATTAAGTTCCTTCATAATAATAACCAGAAAGAATTAAGTTCCTTTGAAATGTTAACCGGAATGAAATATTGAGATAATGAACCATAATCAAGTTCAAAAGTCCATTGAAACAAAACAAAATTGGAAGCAGAGCAAACACAAACCTCTAAAACATCAGAGGTGGGATCAGGTGTCATGGAAAAGTAAACATCCCCTGTCGTGTCGAGCGGTAACACCCACTGTAGACATTCACTGTTTAAATAATGGTCTAACAATTTTAATGAAAAACGCAATACAGCATTGTACTTAATGATAGATTGTATTTGCTGACAAAGTCATTGTCTCGACCAAAAAATTTGCGAAATGTTGACTTTAAATGAGATTGTTGATATCCCTGTTTCATCAACCAGTTTGGCAATAGCTTGCCTCGATTAAGAAATTGTTCGTTTGCATGCTCTTGCGTATCAAATCAATGGGAGACATAAACTCCATTTATAGGTGATAAGGGTATATTGCTACATAAATAAGGGAAGCTGACAATAGAAAAGTTGAAGTCAACATATTTATCATGAAGTTTTATTATAAGGTTGCCATTAACGTTTTTTTTAGTAGAATTTGAAACATGTGTCAGACTCTGTGGTAACTTTTTTTTTCGAAATCAAAGGGATTAAGTTCCTTCAGAATGTTAACTGGAAAGGATTAAATTCATTCAGAATGTATAATTGTTCTTTTCTTCACTGAACTTCATTTATCCATAGATGCTGTAAACGAATTCGGTTAAAATTGATTGGATAGTTGTGAAGAAGTAAAAAATGTTAAAAGTTTACGACCTACGCACAACGAGGGACGAAAACGGATAACAATATGTCACGTAAGTGACTCAGGTTATCTAACAAGGGATTGAATAGATCAGAATTCATGTTAAGATTATTTTTTCAAATAAATACTGACTTTCAATGTGACTCTGAATCATAATGCGTACTATTACAATATACTTCTGAACACGTTTCAATCTAACATATTCTGGAAGCTCATGCGTCCCTCAAAACATGACCATGAGTCAAGATCAACTCAATATAGGCAACAGAGTACCAAATTTTGAATCCAATTAAATTGATCAAGGTTACAGAGTTATAAACTTTGACATAGTTTAATAGTACCGAAAGAATATGAATCTCCTTGCCATGGGAACTTTGTTATCATGACATGTAATTGAAAATATAACGCTTCCCAAGCAAGGTCATAACACAACATTTTTTTTAAAAGTTTGAATCTATTCTAACCAATAGTTTCAGAACTGTATGTGTCGCAAATATCCCAAAGACTTTTGATTGCTTTTATTCGACTGACAAATTTAAAAGAAAGGGTATAATTTTTTTAATACCACCAGTTTGGTCAGTCGGATTAAAGCGATCTATAGGCCTATGAGATATCTAATTCATACAATTTTTACAAATAGAATATTGCGTCTTCGTGTCGAAGAGAGACATAATATTAAAAAATAATGCGGTTATATATATATATATATATATATATATATATATATATATATATATATATATATATATATATATTTACATTTTCAAATGTTTTCGTTTACATAACACTATTAAAAGCAACGCATATCTATTTAAGAAATAAACAACAATGTTAAAAAGTTCTCTGGGAAATGAACTTGGTTGGTCACGTGATCAAATCCTGTGAAGCCCGAAGGGCTTCTCAGAAGATTTGATCACGTACCAACCAAGTTCATTTCCCAGTGAACTTTTTAACATTGTTGTTTATTACTTTTATTTACATTTGAAACGAATATTCTGAGTAGAACTGCATTTATTACACAAACGGCCCGCCGTATTGCTATGTTGTGACGCGCAATGACCTAGAAGCTGTTTGGTCTTAAGAGTTCGCCTCGCTCCAACATTTGAATATTTACATGAATGTTAAGCCGTCCAGTTCAGGAAATATCTGTTCGTAATGAAAAAACAATGATCGCTACTGAGAATAATCTTACTATTATATATTGTATGAGTTCTTTATATATGAAGTCAAAAGCGGTGGTATCGTCTTCAGTTTAAATACCTTCAAAGGAATTTCGGGTTAAAAAGGTAAGCGTGATTTTAGGCTAATTAGAAACATTCTTCACACCGAAGAAAGATATAATGATCATTTGTTGAACGAAAAAAAATATATGTTTCAATAATTTTATCTTTTTTTTATCGCTTTAACGGCTCAGAAGTTCCGAAACAGTGTCACTGTGACAGAAATATGTAGACAAGATATCGTCTCGCTGTGTGATTCGGTCACGCCATGACCTCTGACCCCCTAATAAGTTCATACAGAATTGAACATATTTCCTCTTCAATAGGTTCATCTAAGAAAAATATTTGCAAATGTAAATAAATCCGTATAAACACGGGTTCCTCGCTTCATAAACGTTTGACGTAATTTCTCAGTGACGTCATAAAGGGTCGACGCGTGCCTGAAATAGAAGGAGACTCTACCGCATCACTAGAAAAGCTAGCTTACTAGCGAGGCAGTATAAGTTCCCTACATACTGTTCGCTACACTATACACTTTCCAATAGGGATGGCAACGAATATTCGAACATTCGAATATTCATTCGATGAGTTGATATTCGAATATGAATTTAAGATTCGAATATTCGGTGTTTTTCAGATTTCATAAAAAGAAGTACTGTGATTAATAAATTTTGATTAAAACATTGCTGGAATTATCCCTGTTTAATTTAATAGCGATCAATTTCGATCGTCTGATTTCTTTCACTACTTTCTTATAGATTTACTAAATTACATGTATGAGTAAGGTGTTAAAGAATTGTATACAAAAATGCTTTATGTATAATACAAAACGTACTTTCATAGTTTTTATTAGTTAGATACGATCGGATCTAGAATCGAGGACAAAAATGAAATCTAAGAATGTCTAAAAGGCGTAAAGAGTA